GGAACGGATGCGGGAGGGGGTTCCTGCAGGCAAAGAGGGGAAGGAGCCCTGAGCCGGAGCCCTGAGCCCATCCCCCCCACCCACCCCCACAGCCCCAGAGGCAAATTCTCTGGGTGGTTTGCAGCCCCCAGGGCTTGGGGCTCCATGCTCTCCAAGGTCGGGAATCGGAGTCTAATCCCTGAAGGCCTCCTGTGGAGTGGCCTTCGCAGCCCTCAGCCGGGTCCAGCTGGCCTCGGTCAGCCCCCCGGCGGCTGTCTGTCCTGCTCCCAGCTCCTGGTCCAGCGCCGAGGGCACCTTGTGCAGGGCACAGACAGCGAGCTGGAGAAGTGCCACCGCCGCCCCCTTCCCAAGTTCGGGAAGAAAGGTCCTCCGTTTCTCTGAGGGTGCGGCCAACCGTGGGGGCCGGCGAGGTCACAAAGCCAGTGGAGGGTTTACTGAGCTCCTCGGCTGTGGAGAGCCCCAGGAGCACTAATCCTCTGAGACACAGAGCACGGCTCCTGGCACTGACCCAGGCCAGCCTTCCACCTCCTGCTTCTCCCAGCTTTGACATTCGAGGGGCACCAGGCGCGCTGCTGTTTGCCGGGAGGAATGTTCTGCCTTCTCATGTTGCCTTGGGAGAGAGGGGCCCCCCCCCCCCCAAGTTCTGTTCTGTGGATCGCAAGGCTCTGCTTTCCACAGCTGTCAGAGGCTTGAGTCATGAGACACAGATTGTTCTGTTCCCTTGGATTTCAGGATAGCTTTCTTCTTTTACTGATGGCCGAGTCTTTGCAAAAAAATCATTTCTAGTACATACGGGGACTTTCACTTAGCTAGAATATTAGATTAACGCAAGTGCCTGGTTTCTCCCCCATGACATGCTGATTGAGTAAAAGGCCACTGAGTCTTTGAAGAATTCAGCTTTCTCATGTTGCAGGGGGGGAAGCTGAAACCCAGGAGCCCTAGTAATGGAAGGAGAAGAAAGCATTCGTTGGAAGTCCATCATTTCATTAACAGCCCAGAATCAGAGAAGGTTGGATCCAGAAGTGTCCTAGAGACCATCTAATCCAACTCCTGGCCTCCCAGACGTGCCTGCTTAGACCATTGTGTCAGTAACAGTTGTGTGTTGATTGTGTTTATTTTTATGAACTCTCCCAGAGGGTGGTGTTCCCTGAGATTCGAACCAAGGCATGGCATGCTGAGTGGTCACGACCGTGAGTGATGGGAAAAGTCCAGGGGAGAAGACACGTGGGGCAGAGGCTTGCAGAAGGCGTGTGATGTGTGCATGAGGACAGGGCAGGGAGCGGGCTGCAGACTGGACCGACAGCCCGTGTGGAGCTGCGGGAGTGACTGACAGGGCGTTTCTGGGGGGTCGCTGAGAGCACGGGGGCAGGGGTATAGAGGAGCGGGCCTTGAATGCCAGAATCAAGCATTGTGCCCAATTTTTATATAATCGGGGGCCCCTGTTGCATCTGGAGGTTCCATGGCTTCCGCTGCTTCTGCTGCTGCCCTGACCCAGACTCTTCTCGTGTCTCACCTGGGAGGTCTCCATAACCTACCTGGTCTCCCTGCCCGTACTCTGCCCAGCCACACTCCACAAAGGCCCCCTACCCAGGGGCTTTCTGAACTACAAGTCTGATCATGTTCCCCGCCCCCCCCCCCTTCCAAGGCCCTTCCTGGCTTCTTGTTGCCCACAGGACAACAGGATCCTGCCTTAGGTGGCGCTGTGTGGCTTGGTGCTGCCTCGTCCTGCAGCCTCACCTCCACCGTGCCTCTGATCGCACCAGGCACCCTGGTTTCCTCGGCTGTCATGCCGTTGAACTACTCACTGCCTTTGCCCAGCTTCTCCTTCCTTCCCACTTGCTTTCTCTGACTGACGAACTCCTATTCATCCTTCAAGACCCACTGTAAATTTCTTTTTGGAGAAGCTTTCTCTGACCCCTGAGAGGTCACATGATGCCTTGAATGTGTTTCTGTTTTGAAGCTCACATCGTGTTGCAATGATCTACTTCCAAGATACTGGCGATTCCCGCTTTTGAGTGTGTGTTTTGTTGTGTGCTGGGCTGAGCCCCAGATATGCATTATCCTGCCACAGTAGCCCACGAGGTGCATTCTGTCACAGATGAGTAAGCTGAGATGCAGAGAAGTGGCGTGACCTGCCCAAGGCATGCACCTGGAGGGTGACAGAGCTGGGATTTGAGCCCAGATCTGTTTGACTCTATTTCTGCATCCTTCTGTCTCCTGTTCCCCGGATCCCGCTGTATCCCCTGGACCCCCACTGTAGGCCTTCGGGAACCTGCTGCGTGTGTGAGGGGCTGATCAAAGGGGGCGTGCAGCAGCGTTGTCATGGTGCGGGCAGGATGGGGAAGTGGAGGGAGGCTGGAGGAAGGGGCTGGCTTTACTCTGGTGTTGAGGTGATAAGAGACTCTGAGCCCAGCTCCCCAAGGTACACCTTCCTTTCCCTTCCAAGCAGCAGCCTCTGGCGGCCTGGGCACAGGGCTGCGGGATCCAGGGGAGCAGGCAGGCGGCCTGGCGACATATGCCATGGCAACCTGCCTCCTCCCTGGGGCCCAGAAGTGGAGGAAGGACTGGAGAGAGCACGTGCGGCCTTCTGAGTAGGATCCTGGAGAGGTGGCTCCCTTTGGGCCTGGGTGGCTTCTGCCCTCCCATGAGGGACCCCTGCCTACAAAGTTCCATCCCAGCACGGGAAATGCCACTCTAGTCTCTGTCCCGGAGGAATGGCCAGTCTGGCTTCCCAGGAGACCATTGGGTCCATCCAGGTACAAACGCTATCCCCTGTCCCCCTACCACCACCCCCCAGGCCAGGGAGGAAGGAAAAGGGAGCACAAGAGGGGGGAGGTGTGGGGTTGTCAAGCGAGGTAGGAGCAGGGACAGCTGAGACAAAGCCCTCATTGTACTGAGGCCACACTCGGCTCCAAGGCAAACCGGGCATGTTGCCTGCCTCCCCGTACAGAGGCCTGGGACTCCACCTGGAGTTTCCAGGCTCCGTAGCAACCCTGGCCCAAGCTGGCTCAGAAGAGTGAGGCCGGTCCTCCGACCTGAGTCCTGCCTCTGCCAGGCTGTCCTCCTGCAGGCACCACCCCCTCAGTGTAACCTCCCAAAAACAAGAAGGGAAGGGAGGAGGCTGCCAGGGAAGCCAGGCTGCCTGGGACTAGAAGCCAGGGTCTGTCTGGCCCTGCAGCTCAGCCACCTCGGGCCCAAATGTGATAAATGTGATAACACATCGCCCCTCTGGGCCCCCCAAGCCATGCCAGGAGGCATGGAGTCCCTGGTGGCCTTCCTGACAAGTGCGGGGAGCACTGTGATCCTATGGTTCCTCCTCCAGGGGCTGGCCCGACTGTGCCTGAGTGACCGGGGCACGATGGGTGGGACACCTCCCCGAGCTGGGGCGAGCAACTCAGGTCACAGGCCTGGTGTCGGCAGCTCTTGGGCCCGGCACCCAATACCTCTGGGCAGACAATGCCGGCTGTGTCCGGGCCCTCCAGGGGCACAGGCTCCGCTTGGTGTCACAGCCAGGAAACAGGCCACCTGAGCGGTACCTTTGTCCCCCCAGGAGGCAGCCCCACCACTGGGCAAGATGAGCAGGCTCCCCGGAGGCCCTGACATGGGAAGGGGTGGCGCTCAGCCAGGGGACTCCAGAGTTTGAGGCCCAGCCCCTGGGCACCTGGTGTTGGTCTGGTTCCCCTGTTGGCCCAACCACACGCTGGGGGTGTGACTGGGGTGCGTGCCTCCCTCTCAGAGGCTCAGGTTCCTCATCTGTAAGGGGACTAATCACAGCACTTCCTTATAGGGTTTTTGGGAGGAACCAATGGTGCACTGTACGTAATGTGCTTGGCCCGGGGTCTGTGCGCACCGGGGCTCGGTGACCGCTTCTCTCCAGCATGGGGAAAGGTCGGGGCACGGTGTCCTTGGCCACGTCTCCACTCACCCAGGCTTCTGTCCTTAGTCCCTGCTCTGAGCATGGAAGGAGGGAACAGGGGTCTCTGGGGCTGGCACAGGACTCGTGGCTGCAAAGAGGCCAGGCCCCTCCGTCTCCGGGATGATGCCCAGGATAGGACTCCTTCCTATAACAGCCAACGCCCAGCCCAACAGGGGCCTTCTCCCCTCCTTCAATCCCTGTAGGGCTGCCCTTGGAGCCTAAGCCTCTACCTGCTTGTCAAGACTGCCAAGGATGGGTCTCTACAGGCCTGGTCACTTCCTACTCCTTCCAGCCCACCAACCCCACCCCCAGAGGAGGGCTTCTGTACCCATTTGCCCCCTTCCTTATCTTCTTTGAGCCTGTGCTCTGAGGTCCTGACACATGCCGAAGCCAGCATGCATGTTTGCATGGATGGGTGCAGGCATGCCTGTGTGCCGCATGCATGCGGGAGGGCCCGGCTGCATGTCCTGCATCGTGGGCAGATCCCGAGCATGCTCCCTGAGACGGGTGCGGCCTGTCTTGGAATGGCAGGGAAGTAGTACCTTTTCACATTCGTGTGTATCCATATGTCTTTCTACACATGTGCTGGTATGTTGGTCTGTCTTGTCTCCCCTATAGACAGGAAGGCCCAAGCCACATGCCAACGGGCGCTCTGGGAAGGTGACGTCGAGACTAGCCCAGCCTAATTTGGGGTTCCTGGTCCTGCTCCAGGAGTCCTCCAGCCTGCAGCCCCCACCGAGGAGGGAGGATTGTCCAGCGCGGGTTGGGGTCCGAGTCAGGGATCGGGGGGCCTGGCTTATAGCGTAGAGGACTTGGTGCTGCGCTGGGGGTCAGGAGGCCCTGCCCCGATGCCCTTGCGACCTTGGTCAAGGCCTTCAAGCTCTCTCTCCACGTTCAATCATCTGGAGAACGCGGGGTTGGATCTATGATTTCTGGCTGCCCTTGAAGCCCTGACGATCGAGATTTTAAGTCAGGGGGCAGGAGTGTGCTAACTTCGTTGGCGGAGGCAGCTGTGGCTAGTGCCTGGCCTACCGGGCCCTCGCTCGGTCCTGGGGTGTCCTGCTAAAGGGTAATAGGACGAGCCATGCCAGGCAGCGGCCCTAACGAGAGGATGACATGGCCTGGGCCGGCCCTCCCCGCGGCACCCCCAACGCGCCCTCTCTCCTCAGCCCCGGGGACACCACCCATCCCGCCCCTCACCCGGACCCGCAGCCTCATGGCCATGTCCCTGCCGGGCAGTAGACGGGCCTCTGCTGGATCCCGCAGGTGAGTGTCCCCTTGGCTTCGGAGGGCGGGAGGAGGGAGGGTCTCTGCCCCACCCCCCACTGCCACCGAACTTACAGTGTATCCTTGAGCAAGTCATTTCCCCAGTTTTCCCGGCTTTAGAATGGGCTTGCTATCACTCACCTCCTCCGGGAACTACTGAAGGGCTCAAGGGACACAGTGGATATAAAGTTCTCCGAGGCAGTAAACCACTGGACCCATACCATCCTCAGTATTGCTGTTGAGCTTCGCAGTGACCGGGGGCACTGGTGCCGTCCTCCACTCTGGCTCGCTTGGCCCCCCCCTTTGACCTGTGCATGCCCTTCCTCCTGTCCCTACCCCTGCCTGCCCCCTCTGCCCCACCTGCATCAGCCCCCAGGCTCGGGGGGACCCTGGAAGTGGAGGACCCCTGGGCGAGGGTTGATGGGACCCCACCCTCGGCCCCGCCCAGCCTCCATTCCTGTCCTGGGGAGCCGGGAGGACCAGCCTCCATTCCTGTCCTGGGGAGCCGGGAGGACCAGCCTCCTCCTGGTTTTCCATCTTGATTTCCGCTGTCTGTTCTGTCACCCCTGTCTTTGCGTCCCTCTCTCCCCTCTGCTTCTCTCCCCGGCCCGTGACCCTGCAGCGGGGGCCCTTTGGGCCGCAGCGGCCTGGCGGTGTTCGCCCAGTGTCCGCAGCTGCCCGCCAGCCCGAACGAGCACCTGCCTCTTCTTCCTGCCTCCAGGCGCACCTCTCCCCCCGTGAGCGTGCGGGACGCCTACGGCACCTCCTCTCTCAGCAGCAGCAGCAACTCGGGCTCCTGCAAGGGCAGCGACAGCAGCCCCACGCCCAGGTAACCACTCCCCGTGCCCGGCTGGCGATGCACCTGCACCCCGCACCCCGGCTGCGCAGGTGGGGACCGGCCAGCTCTGGCTGTGTGACCTCCAGCAGCCCATTCCCCCCAGAGCCTCAGCTCCTGCCTGAGAGAGGGAAGGGTGATGCCCAGCTGTACACTTTGGGACTCCCTGTCCCAAAGACAGGGGCTTACACAAGCTGGGGGTGATGCTTTCAGAACCGGGGCCCAGCGGCAGGCAGCTCCCTGAAGGTTCCGGGACCCTGTCCCATCTTCCTGCTCTACCGTCCTTGGGGTACAGCTTTTGTCCTCGCCCTTACCAGAGGCTCCTACACCTCCAGGCATCAGGTCAGCATCGGGGCCAAGAAGGAAGAAGGTAGAAGGGCCACCCCCCCCCCCCCCCCCCCGACAAGAAGCTCATGTTTTCTGAGAAGGGACACTTCCCCAGGAATTCTGTCTACACCTTGCCGGCTGGCACTGAGACATGGGACTGGGTGATGGCTGCCAGCCAGGTGGTGCGGGGAGCACCAGCATTGTCCCCGGTACCCTGCCACCGTGCACAGAATTGGGGTTCTCTTGGGGGGAAAGGCAAGAGTGGAGAGTGGCAGGCCACTCGGGCGTCTGCCATCCTGCTCTCCTTGGGGGGCCACCTGCGCGGTGGCGGAAGTACAGCAGATTTGGGAGGCGGAGTGTGTTGCAATGTGGCACATGCTATGTTGTGTGCTCCGGAGAGGCGGGATGGAACCGGAAGAGCAGGCTGGGGAGGCAGGTGAAGGGAAGCTGAGCACTCCATCCTGATTCCCCAGAGGAGCCCGGAGCTTGGGGAGCACGGGCTGGGCATTCATACTTCCAGTCCTTGAGTCTTTCCCTTATCCGTCAAGTGGGGCTAACATCCCGCAGGCTTCGGTGAGTTGATGTCTGCAGGTGGCCCGAACTGGTAGCTGCCATCATGAGGACTTGGGTCCCACATGAGCGTCTTGGGCCACCAAGGCTGGCTTGCGGCTCCCACGGCCAGAGCACCTCGTGGGAAGGCTAGTCTTGCCCTTCCAGTGGAGAGGGTGTCATTGGTGTGAAGTGATGTTCAGATCACGCTGAGGCAGCCGTTCTCAGAGTTTTCCACCTCGACACACATGATGGGTGACACACACGTGCAGGACCCATGCCCCAGCGTCCTGGCTGGGACCCCATCCTGAGTGCAAGGGGTGTGAGCAGGATGATGCGCTCACATTTTGCAAAGTATACGACTGGCAACTTGAACACTTTCTCATTAGTAGCAGATTTTTGCAGTGCACGTCATAACTGCAGCACAAGGGACTGTCCCAGCCCTGAGGTTGGGCACTGCCCCCGTGGGAGGGTCTTCTTGCCCATGTGGATGGTGGCCATTATGGGCGAGCAGCGGGGCCTCGGCTGTGGCCTCAGTGCAGACAGGTGTTCTGAGGCAGGAACAGCGGAGACCCACGGATTATAGTATTTTCTTCTCAGTTATTTATATATTTTTTCCACAAAGATAGAGCTAATGACTAAAAATGTATGAGTGTGAAATGTTATATTAGAAAAAAACCACTCATGAAAGCAAATGGGAAGGGTGAGAACAGCTTCTTCTCTAATTCTCACCTGTACTAGTTTAACTGGTTTGCCCGGCGCCCGGGGAGGAGCCCCTTCTCACTCACCACAGCTCCGCGCCCCACTAGCCCGAGTCCTGGCACGGCGGCCCACAGACGGGGCGTCCCCAGCTCCGGCCCGCGCCACCCTTCTTGCCCCTTGTCGCGCGGAAAACAGGCTGGCGTGTGATAGGCCTTGAGTTAAACCTAGGGACCACGGGGTGAGTCAGTAGAAGAGAATCCGCCCCTTTCTCTCCACCTCTAGCCCCACGCTCTCTGCAGTGGCTGATGGTTTATGAATACTTTCCCTCCGTAAACATTAGGCAGCTCCCGCGGAACCTTTCAAACTGCCTTCACCGCGGCTGCTTCAGCAAACCTGGCCTGTCTTCAGACCTGTGGGTGTCATCGCCCCTCCCTAAACCCCGGGGCTCCGCGTCCCCTGAAGGAGCAGCGTTGGGTGGCCACAGGGCCTCTGGCGGGCCGTGTGAGAGCCTGCCCGAACTGTTAGGCCGAGACCCAGGCAGGCTTCCTGGCACACGCAGCAGCAGGAAGCTGTGGGCTGAGGCACCTGGGCCGTAGCATGCTGGAACTGGGTGCTGTCCTTCGCTGGGTGCAAGGCCTGGCCCTCCCCACTCCTCCACTGGGCCAGAGGTCCTCCACTTTGCAGTGCTGAGACCAGGGTGTGCTCAACACACACACACACACACACACACACACACACACACACACACACACAGTCTGTGCCCCCCCCCCAGGCTGGGCAGCATGTGGAGCCGGCTTGCTGCCAGCTGAGGGCACAGCTGTGAACGAGGGGATGCCCAGAGCCGGTGGGTGTTCACACGTGTGTGTGTGTGCCCTCAGAGCACGCGTGTGTGCGGGGGCGGGGTGGAAGGCACCTGCATTTGTGTGAACCCGTGTGTTGGGCTGCTGTGCTGGTCCTTGTGAATGTCCCTGGGGGTGGCCGCAGGGCGGTGGGGAGGCACGGGCACGGGCGTGTACACACGGAGGTGGGCAGGCACACATGGACCAGGCGTGTGCATGCTCGTGGGAGCCCGTGTGTACGTGAGCACAGTGAGGAGGGCACCAGAGTGCGTTTGCAGACAGCTGCGCCCACACGTGTGTCTGCGCTCCCGGTCCCCCCCAGGGCCCAGCAGGCCGGGCAGTAAAGGCTCTCAGCTCTGGGGGTGCGCCCTCCTACACAGGGCTGAGTCCTTACCCCGCTGCCGCAGGCCTTGGGAGAATTACACAGGGAAGGCGCAGCCCCCCCCCCAGCCCCTGGCCCCCCCCCCGTTCTCTGGGTTTAAGGACCGGACACCGGGGGTTTGGGGCCCCCCCCCCCCGGCCCAGGACTGAGATGGCAGCATCAGTGGAATGCCCCACATGGTGCCAGGCCATGCGCTTGCTCTGTCATGCATCCCCACCCATAACTAGGGGAGCCCCGGGCTCCCCACTGTGGTCTTCACTCAGAAGAGCTTTAATAAAGCCTGCCTTCCTGAAGGCCTGGATGCTCTCAGGCCCACACGGGCCGCTAGGGGAGGCCTAGCCCGGAGCCATCTGGTGGCCGTGGGACCAGGATGGTGAGGGACGTCTTCCCGGCTGACACGTGTCCCCTTGCAGGCGCTCCATGAAGTACACACTGTGCAGCGACAACCACGGCGTCAAGCCCCCCACCCCGGAGCAGTACCTGACCCCCCTGCAGCAGAAGGAGGTGTGCATCCGGCACCTGAAGGCCCGGCTGAAGGACACCCAGGACCGGCTGCAGGACCGGTGAGCTGCCATCAGAGGCAGCCCTGGAGACACGCTGCCCTCTCCACGCTCAGAGGCCCCAGGGCCTCGGGGTACTTCTGGGAGGAAGGAGTGGCTGAGGGCTTCCCGGCACCCAGCCTGCCCTTTCCCTTCCGGCAAAGGCCCGTAGGAGCCCCTTTCTAGAGCCCCCAGCCATCCACCTCCTCCCCTCCGCTGCTCTCCCGGCCGGCCCGCTGGTCCTCCCCACACCCATGGCAGTGCTCTCTCAGTTTGAGCCTGGCGGCCCCTTTGGGCCACTTCTTGTCCCCTGGCTCCTTTCCAGCTGGAGAGCAGGAGCCCCGGGCATTCTTCCTGGCTCACCTTCCCTGCGGGGCAAGAAACAACCCCCCCCCCCCCCGGCCCCTTTGCTTCCGCCCAACGAGTCACCAGGGGGCTCTTGGCCCACCGGTTCAGGCCGCAGAGGCCTTTCTGCTCATGTACTTACAGACAATGGGAGATCATGAGAAACCTTTCTTGAGCTCCTACTCAGCCCAGGGGTCCCCCCGGGAGCCCCCGCGACCCCCTCTGAGCTCACTCTCCGGACCTGAGGGGCAATCCCGACCCTCTCGGCTGCTACCTGTCTGAGCCGCCGGCTTCATCTTTATGACCGCAGCTTCAGCGCTGCCCTCTGACTCCTCACCATCTCCTCTGCGTGGTGTCCGTTCCAACACGCAGCCGACTGAGTTGCCCCGGGCACTGGGGGCCGGGGCAGGCCGACACGATCATGGCTGCTTTCCTCTTTGCTCTTTTTGTAAAACTATGCAGGGTGATGCACATGTCGCTCACACCCCGTACAGTTCCCCTCTCTCGAGCGTACCACTCAGCGATGTTTCATATAGGCACCGAATCATGCAACCCTCACCGGTATCCGGTCCCAGAACATTCTCAGCACCCCAGAAAGGAAGGCCATTCCCGGTAGCAGTCATGGCCCAGGCCCCTGGTAACCACTCGTCTTTCTGTCTTTCTGGATTCGTCTGTTCTGGACACCGCATATAAACGGAAGCATGTAATATGCATGAGCGCGGCTTCCGTGGCCAGAGCTTTGCCAAGCAGCCGATGCGGTTTGGCTCTGCTGTGGTTCTGAACTATGGGAAGTTACAGGTGGCATTCAGTGGCCTCCTCTGTCGAGTTGGCATTTCTATTTTTACTTCCCATCATCTTCTAGGTGATGCCCTGGGTCTGCCTGGCCACTTGCACTCATGGGCTCGGGAAGCAGACAGCCTGTCTCCTGGCTTCCCTTCTGGGGCTGGCCCAGCGGCTCGGGCGGACCATCTGCCCCGCGTGGTTTGGGCACGCTCCCCTGGCGTGGACGCGCCCCACCTTAAATCCCCGGCCGCTTTCTGCCTGTTAGTCCCGCAGGGACCCGTGACAGCTCTTTGCCACACGTGCTCCGTGTGTTCACTTTGATACCCATCTCCTGCGGTAACCTACCTTCTCCATAAAGAAGCTTCTACACCCTGTGCTTTTGTTTGCTGTGTCCCCACTTCCTGAGATGGACCTGCCCCTATTCTGCTCCCTGGGCAAACTCATCCTTCAAGGCTCAGTTCAACTGTAATGTCCTAGACAGGGTGGGGAAGCTAGAGCTCCCTGGCCTGGGGTCCCACCAGCTCTAAGGAGAGAGGGGCAGGGCCCAGCCCCACGGAGCATGCCCAACCCCTTCCTCCAAGCGGGTCTTCCCTCCCGGCACTCGGCGTCAGTGTGGCAGGTTTCCCTAGAATGAACCCCAGTAAATGCTCCCATGCCCAGTGGTCCGTCTGTCATGGCCACTCTGAGTGACTCTGGTTCCCCGCTGCCATCACAGGGCTGTGTCCGGGTGGGCGGGCCAGTCTGCCCCTTCCCAGATAATGGCATTGCTGACCTTGCCAGCCGCCGCAGCCCCTCAGCCTGGACCCCTCGACGTTCTGCAGAGCACACTTCCTGGCCTCATTTCCTGAACTGACCCTCCCATCTGACTCCGCAGAGCACACGGTGCTTGATCGGGCATGGTCCCTCTGCTGGGCTCCTCACCCTGAGTGACGGTCAGCCCTGCATGCATTGCGTGTCCGTGAACGTGGGGCACGTGGGCCGCGTGGCTGGGGGGGCGGTGCCTGGGTGGATGCGCCCTGCCCCCCACCCCCCGCAAGACCTGCTGGCTCAGGAGTGGCTTTCCTCCACCCTCATGGCCTTCACCGCATCCTGCCCCACCTCATGCTGCCTTTTCTACCAGACTTGATAGGATGTTCTAACTCGCCTCCCTCCGCTGCACCCCGGATTCGTCTGTGACTTGAGGTGCCTGTGTCTGCTTTGCCTGGCGCTGGCCTCTTCTCTCGGGAACGGCCTGTGCCTTCTTGTCCATCCTTTGGGCCCATCCCCTTCACAGTAGCTACAAAGCAGAGATGACCAGTGTGGATAAAACAGAGCCACCTGTGGTCACTGTTTTCCTCTGTCGCACCCACCACGTTTCATCCCCCGCACTGAGGGGAGGCGTGAGGCCGGCAGCCTCCCCCCACCCCACATAGTGGCAGTAAGTTCCACAGCAAAACAGGGCAGCCCGCTGCCTCTCCCCCGGGGGCTCCGGCGGGGGACCCCTGAGGACAGTCTGCACCACCGGCTTTCGTAGGGGCAGATATTTTACGTTTAGTTCTTATTGTCTTCGGTTAAGATTTTAAAATAGATGTGTTTGGTTTTTATAGCAGTAGGCATTTATTTATACACTGAGCATCTTTCTTGTCTAACGTCTCCTGTAGGTAATGGATTGAAGTGGGGACAGTCGTCTGCATTTCAGCCTACAGGGCTGAGGATGCAAAGGGGCCTAGACATTTCTTCTCCCCCCACCCTGACCCCGGGGGGCTGGGGGAAGGAGGCCCCTTGGCTGCCCCCTCACCCCCTCTGGAGTGAGAAGGAGGCACTGAGTCAGGGCTTTTTTGTCTGGCTCTGGGCCGGGAAGCACACAGGCCCTCTGTCCTGGGTGACAGCCCCTCCCCCTGCTTGTCCTTGGTGGTGGTGACAGGCCGGGCAGCGAGCATGTGTGTCTTCTCTGCTCCCAGGGACACCGAGATCGATGACCTGAAGACACAGCTGTCGCGCATGCAGGAGGACTGGATCGAGGAGGAGTGCCACCGCGTGGAGGCCCAGCTGGCCCTGAAGGAGGCGCGCAAGGAGATCAAGCAGCTCAAGCAGGTCATCGACACAGTCAAGAACAACCTGATTGATAAGGACAAGGGGCTGCAGAAGTACTTCGTGGACATCAACATCCAGAACAAGAAGCTGGAGACGCTGCTACACAGCATGGAAGTGGCCCAGAACGGCACGGCCAAGGAGGACGGCACCGGGGAGTCGGCCGGCGGGTCCCCTGCCCGCTCCCTCACCCGCAGCTCCACCTACACCAAGCTGAGTGACCCCGCCGTCTGCGGCGACCGCCCCCCCAGCGACCACCCTGGGGCCTCTGCCGAGGACGGGGCTGACAGTGGCTTCGCGGGGCTGACCGAGGACACGCTGAGCCGGACGGACGCGCTGGAGGCCAGCAGCCTGCTGTCGTCGGGGGTGGACTGCGGCCCCGAGGAGGGCTCACTGCACAGCAGCTTTGGCCTGGGACCCCGCTTCCCCGCCAGCAACACCTACGAGAAGCTGCTGTGTGGCCTGGAGGCCGGGGTGCAGGCCAGCTGCATGCAGGAGCGCGCCATCCAGACGGACTTCGCGCAGTACCAGCCGGACCTGGACGCCATCCTGGAGAAAGTGACCCAGGCCCAGGTCTGCGGGGCAGTCCCTGAATTGGGGGTCGGGGATCCAGAGCTGGAGCCCCAACCCCCGGGGCCCAAAGACCCCAGCTCCGCCGTGGTGGTGACGGTGGGTGACGAGCTGGAGGCCCCGGAGCCCATCACCCGAGGGCCCAGCGCGCACTGGCCGGGTGCCAACCGCAGCCCCGGCCCGTCGGTGAGCGTGGCGTGCCCGCTGGAAGAGGAGGAGGCGGCCGCCGCCGAGAAGGAGCCCAAGAGCTACTGGAGCCGCCACTACATCGTGGATCTGCTGGCCGTGGTGGTGCCGGCCGTGCCCACGGTGGCCTGGCTCTGCCGCTCGCAGCGGCGCCAGGGCCAGCCGGTTTACAACATCAGCTCGCTGCTAAGGGGCTGCTGCACTGTGGCCCTGCACTCCATCCGCAGGGCCAGCTGCCGCTCGCTGAGCCCACACGGCCCGAGCGCCGCGGCAGGCAGCTCCCAGCTGTGAGCGCGGCCTGACCGCTCTCCCTCCCGCTCGTGCCCCGGGGGCCTCATCTTACTTCAGTTTGGGGTTTGGGAGTGGCTTTTTCGGGACGTGAACAGTGTCAGGGGGCTGGGAGTCGGGGTTGGGAGAAGGCACCCCCAAACCGTGACAGAGGACAAGGGGAGAGAGACCAAAGGCAGGGAGGCACGCCGAAGGGACGCACTGCAGAGAGGGGAGGTGGGGAGGTTCCCCCACCCGGCCCTGTCCACCTGGACCTCCGCACGGGGCCGCCCGCCCACCGCCCCCTCCCCAAAGTCTCCGGTCTGTCGATGTGGGGAGGCGGGGCCTGAGGTGCCCGCGGGAGCCTCCCCGCCCCCACCCCCGTGTCCCGATCCGGCCCGCCCACGCCTCCTCTCCAGCCGCCCCCTGCCCTCAGTCCAGCCTTCTGGGCCAGTATTACCTCCTCGCCCAGAGTACAGGCCACCGGCCCAGGACTCGGAGCCGGGGTCTGCAACCCCTGGGCCCCGGCTGCAGTTCCAGCGTCTTCAGGCTGCTCCCGGCTGTGGGATTCGGAAGCCTAGTCTGGCCATAGGCGCGGGCCGGAGGAAAGACGGGGCGATGTTGGGCACGAGGCGGCAGAGCGCAGCGTGGCTTCTGTGTCTGTTCGTCCTGGACCTTCCCCAGGCTCCGCTTCCCTCTCGGCGCGTCTGGCTGTGTCAGATCGTTCTTCCCATGAGAGCTGAGCCGGACAGGCTAGTGCTGGGGCTGGAGCCTCTGCGGGCCCCGGAGGAGGAGGCGGCGGCTGGCAGCTGTGTGTTTGTGGGGGGGGGAACCTCCTCCAGCCCTTCTGAGACAAGGTCCTGCAGTCGGGGAGGCGGGGCTGGACTCGGCAATCCTCAGCTGCTTTGAGAAGCCAGACGACTACCCCTGGAGCTCACCCCAAGTTTCTCTGGGGGGCCTCGGGCCCAACTTCTGCTTTGCACTATGTTCACTTTGGGGCTTGGCTCTCATGCACCCCAGCATCTCCACTGAGGGGCTGCTTGCATTCTAGGGTGAGGGCTCCTAGACTTAGACCTACCTACCCCTGGAGGGACTCCCAGCAGGACGGATGGCACGATGGGATACTGAAGCCATGATGTTTCTCCCGACCAAAGCAGGGTGCCCGGGGTTGTCTCAGGCAGGGACGGGGCAGGGCAGGTGGGAGCCCTGCGGCCTCCCTGCTCACAGCCTGAGGCCAGGCGGCCTGGGACCTTCACTGTCCCCCCTCCTTCCCTGGGACCCCATGTGGTCCTCCAGCCAAGCTGCTGACGTTTTACCACCACTATTATTTGACAAAATAAACGCACTCCTTCTCCCTTGAGGGGCTTACACCCGTCTGGCGGCCCCTCCCACTCTTCAGAAGTTAGGCCCCACATCTGGGGGGGGTGGGACCCCGTGTTTCACTCATCCCTCTGGCCCCGGGGCCACTCTGGTTCTCTGCCCAGGTTGCTCGCCCACCCCCGCTGCTCCGACAGCCAGCTGCTGCCTCACTTAGGGGCCCCGCCTTTCCTCTCTGCGTCCTCCACTCAAGGCGGGGGGCACCTGCATGCACTGGGAGTGGGCAGCCAGCTCAGCCATGGGGGCGACAGCCCCCTCTGCCACACGCTTTGTGCCTCCAAAGCTCCCCCCACCGGTTGGGGCCTCAGACAGACCAGCCGTCCTTTGTGGAGCACCCCTCCCCCCGAACCACACCCGAACTCCTGGGGCCTGGCTGGGGCTGCCCCACAGACGCTGGGGTCGTGACACGGAGGGGCAGTGAACAAAGCCAAGCCGGGCCTGGCCGTGGACCCAGCCTCCTGTGCCGTGTACTCGCGAAGCTGCGCGTAGTGTCTCCTTAGAAGTAGCCCAAGCTTTGCCGAGAAAATAAATGTATGACTCCATTTGACAACATGCAATCTATGTATTTTTCGCACTGGAATTCAGTCGAGCCGCGCAGCCCCTCTGCTCCTGTGTCTTGCTATCTGTGGCCTTCCTGTCGTGTCTTGTGTTTCGGTGGACGTGGTCGGGGCCGTAGCCGCTCCGTCCCGCCGGAGGACGCCCTGCTGAAGGGCCGCGCCCGAGGTGAGTGGGGCCGCCGCTCTGGGTTGAGGGGCCCTCGCCCACAGCGTCGAGGGTCTTCTCTCTTGGGGCCTTCAACGGGCTTTTCCTCCTCGGGTCAGTGGAGGCCGTGGCTCCGCGCCCGGCCCCGGGACACACCCCGAGAGCACGCGGGCAGGCGGCCCTGGCCCGGGCCCTGGCGCGCACGCGCGTGCGTGCTCAGTAGCCGCATCTATGCAAGGGGGGGGGGCAGCGCTGCGCGCGCAGCTCCGAACGCTGGGGGCACCGCGGCCTGCTGGCCGGCCCTGGCACCGCGGGGCACAGAGTGTGGGGCAGGAGGCCGGGGGCAGGAGGCCGAGGCCAGGGCCGGGGCCGGGGGGGGGGGGCCCACCCGCGCAGTGCTCTTCCTCCAAAGCTCCCCCTTTACCTTCTTGCTTAATACCTCCTCCTGCTGGGCCATGGCCTTGCCCTTCTGCCCTCGGCTCCTAACGCAGAAATCCTCGGGGGAGGGGGCCCTTGCCCCCCTGGCCTCCGGCTGGAGCTGATTCAATCCTAAAGGACATTTCCCCAAGAACCACCTACTGAACTGCTGGTCCCTTGGAGCCCAGCGGCCAGAAGTGGCTTCTGTTAGTTGGAGGGCCTGGGTCTGGGCCTCCCTGCTGCTCCTCTGCTCCGGGCTCAGGCAGGAATCAGAGCCGGGGCTGGGACTCTGCACCGAGAGCTGGCCTCCAGCGGAGTTTATTCCGGGCATCTCCCAAGGGGATAACTTAGCTTTTCACTGAACAGCCTGCCCAGGCATCGCTAGCACCAGGGTATCCGACAGCGTTTGGGGAGGGGTGGGCATCCCCGAAGTTCTGGGACAAGGGTCTACCGAGGGCCTGAGCCCAGGGAACTCAGGACCTCCTTCTCTGACCTAGAGGGCCAGTACCGAGAAGTCACAGCATACTCTCCCATTGGGCCATCCCCTCAATGGAGAATTCAGGGGATACGGGAAGGGGGAAGGTGGGGAGGGTCTCCATTTTGTCTCCTTTGTCCTTCTGTTCAGACAGAGTTGTACCCACAGCAGACAGCTCTGAATTAAAGCATGAAAACACAGCAAGACCCTCGGCCTGTTTTCTTTATATCGTGCTTCCCCTCCACCCCGAGGAGTGAGGCAGGGGGCTCAAACCATCCCTGCCAAGCTGGGAGGCACAGTGAACACACAGGGAACGGCTGAGGGGAAAGAGATCCTTTCTGAGGTTGCGGGAACCAGAGAGCCGCATGCTGGCTCAGTGCTGCCATGTGCCTGTCCCAGCAGCTGAGGGTCACTCCCCTCCTGGGTCACACAAAGGATCTAGGATCTAGAAGGGCCTGCCCCAGCCCCCCACCGAGGGTTAGCCCTGCTGGGGCCTGTAAGCGCACCGCATCCCCTCCGGCACCCCTAAAGTGGACCTCATATCTGCTCTGCAGATGCAGAAGCAGGTTAAGCAGGGGTGCTCTGAAACCAGTGTCCCTCCTCCAGAGTCCCTCACGGCTCCCCCTCTCCAGTCACCCCGGCAGGCAGCACGTGATGGTGGCAGAGCCAAATCTCTGCTCTCAGAGACCATGTGTCACCACTGCTTAGAAGAAAACCAGGCCTGGCATGTCATGGGACCAAGGATTCTGGAATTTTCAATTACTTTTGAAGAAGGGCTTGTATTTAAAAGCAAATCTTTATTCAAAAGAAGTGAAGGATTGTAACTATGTACAGTTTGTGACACACAGCCCGCAAGGGGAAAAGAAAAAATTCTCACAAAGAACGAGGTCGTGTTCTCTCAAAACGTGAAACTGTTTTTCTGGTAGAGGCAGCAAAAGTCTTGCAAGGGACCCAGCTGCAACTTTAAGAAGCATTTGGCCGGCTTGCCTACGTGCCCCGCATTTCAACCCATTTCAACCGCACAGAGAGTCACTGCCTGTGGGCCCTAGTGCATCTCCGAGTCTGAGGCTCCGAGGAGGTCTGCGTGCGCCCCTCAGGACCGCCCCGCCCCAGGCAGCCGGCCTCCCCCCACACCTGTCCTCCGATGACTCTGCCCTTTCCTGCAGGAGGGTGGGAGAGTGGGCCGGCTGAGCGGCCCTCCCCTGGCTTCATACATCTGGGATCGAGTGGTCCATGGCGTGGTGGAGCAGGGTCGAGGACAACCTAGATACAGGAACCAGGACAGTCGCCAAAACCGGCAGCAGGTTCTCCTCCCTACCAGCCGGCACAGCCCCAGGGGGCCTTCATGTCCACTTCTAAGACTTTCAGGGCTCCCACTGGGAGCCACCAGCCACTGGGCCCTGGGAAGGGAGGGCAGGGGAGGGAGGAAGCTGGTGTGGTGGGAGGCGGGGAGGTGAGGGGGAAGGCAGGAGAGGGGCAGCCTTACTTTTTGACCATGTGCTCGTAGATCACAGTGGGGATGACGGTCAAGGTGACAACGTTCCCGGCCATGGCCAGAATCTCTGTGACTTCTTTGTCCTGGAGAGGAGGTGAGTGAGGGGTCACCCCGGGGCCAGGGGCGACTCTGAGGCACCTTTGCGGGGGGGAGGGGCGCTCAGCATGGCCCCCTGCTAGAGGACCCTGCTGCCATCAGGTGGGGGTCTCAGGCAGAAACCCGGGTGCAGCCTTGCTTGAGCAAGAGCATAAGTCCCCTGACCTGAGGATCTCTGCAGTAAAAGCGAGCACGCCCCTCCCCACCCTACCCCTGAAGGCCTGTCTGTGGGAGTCAGTCACCCTCAGGCTCTGGCCCCACAGCACAGGGAAAATTACCATGCAGTGGGGGCCATCAGGTGCAGCCACCCACCCACTGTGCTCCTGTTGGCCGCCAGCCCAGCAGGGCCCTCCTGGGCCCTCTTCCTCTTACACCTTGCTGCCCAGTAAAGAAAGGAAGGTCTGTGGACGCCACTCAGACCAGGGGGAGAACAAGAAAGGTCAAGGCTCTACGCAAACTGGGCCAAATAGACCAAACTCTGAGGCATGGCCACACAAGAGCTTCTGGCCCTTACTCAGAGACTAGGACTGTTCACATATATCTAACTTGCTTAAGCACTCAGTTGTTGCAGGACAAGTGGCAAAGACATGCTAGATGGGCCTAGTGACAGCCACAGGGTGGAAATGGGTCCGCTTTCAGGAGACAAACCATCTCAAAAAGCACAGCTATGTGGGGCCATTCAGGAAAGGGAGAGCCCCTGTCCTCAGAGCCTCGGAGCACCACGGTTTGCCAGGATAATGGACAAGTTCATCACGAGGCCCCGAGCCTTTGGGGAGGAAGAGAGAATCTGCAGCACATTGTAGCACGACTGCTCTCTGGAAGAGTTAAGATCAAAGAACTGGAATGCTTTGAAAGGAGTGGATTTGCTAGTATCCAGAGAGAGACAGTGACTCAGAATCCGTACTGGTGGAGTCAACTGTTTAGGGATAAAGGGCTCCCTTTGGATGGTCATGCCTGAGCCCTGGGTGGGGGGAGAAACACCGTGGGAGGGACCTTAGACACCCATCAGGAAGAACTTCCTGATCACAATGCTCATGAGCCCCCAGAGCAAGCTTCCAGCGAAGGTGGGGAGACCGCTGAGCACGGGAAGCAGATACGGGGCAGGAATGGCCTGGTGATGGCCCTCAAGAGGGGTGGAGAAGTGGCTTCGAAGCCTGTGCTGGCTTCGAGATGCCACTGACCAGGCCGCGTCGGTCAGGGGAGCCCTGTTCTCAGTCCTGGGCGGCAGCAAGTCAGGATCAAACCACTTTCACCTGTTCAGGGACCAAAAGCCACATGACTCATCATCCCTGGTGCCTGAAAGCGCCCACCCCTTGGTCAGCGTCCACTAGACCCTGGACCCCTTGTTCTTTCTTGCTTTTTAAAAATAAAACGCCACACACACACACACACACACACACACCCTCAAAAGATGAACAGAGGTCAGAAGTGTGTTTCTGAGCAGGAATTTTCTAAAATACTCCATTACGGACTGTGAGCCACCATGCAGACAGAAGCGCCGTGCTGAGGAGGGAGGCGTCCACGCAGTCAGCTGCCCCTCCCCCGGCGCTCTGTCCTGCCGCCCACCCTCACCCCCTCCTTGCCTCTCGTCTGGCTTCCACACGTTGGTGACAGTAGCTCATATTTACTGAGCACTTACCACGGGCTTTGGCACTGTGCTCAGAGCTCTACCTACCTCATCTTATTGAGCCCCCACAGCAACTGGAGGATGAGGGACCTGAGGCTTGGGTGGGGACAGTAGCTCGCCCGCAGACATGAACCTTCTGTCCACCCAGCCAGCTCTCAGCCGCTGCAGCCCCTGGGGCCAGGGCACAGCCGCTGGCCTACCTTCAGCCCGATGACGTTCTGCCCGTTCACCTCGCACACGGCGTGGTTGGTGAGGAGCCCGTTGCGGGCCGCAGAACTCCCTTTGACCACAGAGATAACCTTCCCCTTCTTGATGACAAAGCCAATGTGGCCCATGCTGTCCTTGTGCATGGTGACGGTCCGCTGGAAGGGCCTGGCGGGGAAAGACAGTGAGCTGGGCCTGGGACGTGGCTGGGGCCAGACAGGGAGGCTCTGGGGGCCTGGCTACCCACCTGTCCCGAGCGACCATGACGATCTTCTCCACCGATGCTCTCTTCAGCACCCGGTGGGCTCTGTCCGTGCTCCACCCGGCACAGTCACGCCCGTCAATCTGCAGGATCTGATCCCCGAAGCGCAGCCCCACAAGAGACGCAGGGCTGTTGGCCTTCACCAGCTGCACGAAGAGCCCCTGGAGAAGGAAGGGCCCTGCCATCAGCTCCACAGCCCACTCTGAGCCCAGGTCCCTCCTGTGGCTGTGCTCCTGATCATCTAGGAGCTATAGCTCTGTGTGGGCAGGACAGCGGTTACCCCATTTTCCTGGGGAGGAAACACTCCAGGCCACATAGCCGGGGGCAGCTGAGTCAGGCTTTCAACCCTGGCTGGAGGCTGCACCCCCAGCCTCCAGACTGCCTGGCTTCTTACAATGGCATTGGCGCCCCTGGCTTCCACTGTCTACAGACAGCTGCCTGGAAGCCAGATCCCTCTGATGGAGGGGAGGGGGGAAGGGAGGCTCTGAGTAGTTGGAGCCCGGGAAGGGTAACTGGATGGTCCCTATTGCTGGAACCCAGCACCAGCCCTGAGGACCTGGGGGAGGGAGATTGAGAGGAAGAGCCTGGGCTTGAGATGGGGTAGGCCTTGGCTCACCTGCCTGCTCTGCACCTTCCTTACTGTGGACAGGGCCTGCACTGCCCCCTCCCAGGCTGGTGGGAGATGTGTGTGGGAAATGCCCCCTACTCTCCTGCCCAGCCCCCAGCCCTACCTGGTCAATGGCCTTTAGCTGCAGCCCAGTCTTGCCATGCTCATCCTTGCACAGGTGGATCTCACGCACCCCAGGCTTGATCTCCGCACGCCGTGTGCCAAGGCTGTTCCCAGACAGTGGTGCCACCAGCTGGCCCAGCGAGGAGCCAGAGCCCACCATCTGCAGACACGAGAGTGGGGTCAGCTGGCCCCTGGGGCCTCGTAAGGATGAAGAAAGAAGGATGCAGTGGTCCCTGGGCCCTATCCCATCCACAGACCACACTCTTCTCTGCAGGGGCTGCTAGGGGACATGGCTCCCTGAAGCCACTGGGGGGGCATCAAAGTCTACGTCCCTGAAAAACAGCTAAGAATATGAGGAGAGACAAGAGAGAGTATGGGTATACAGAAAAGGGACCCTCATTTTGCAAGGCACATTGGTATCAGGAGAAGACCCTTTGAAATCCAACTAAAAATAAAATTTTGCAGCAAATAGGGAGCAATTAGGGGGGAAAAGGACTTGATTTAATTTTTGTCTTGAAAAGAATGTAAGCAAAAAGTATAAAAATGAATGCTTTCCCCCTAAAGCCCAGAACAAGTTAGGATGTCACTCTCACCACTACTATTAAATATGGTACTGGAATAACTAGCCAGAGCAATAAGGCAAGAAAAGAGAAGAGAAAAGAAAAAAAAAGAAAAAAGAAAAGGCATACAGACTGGAAAAGAAATATTTGCCAATGATATGATGATCTACTAGGAAATTCCCGGGAATCTACAAATAAACTCCTAAAACTATAAGGGAGTTCAGCAAGGTCACAGGATACAGGATCAACACACAAAAATCAACTGTACTTTTTATACATGAACAACATGCACCTGGAAACTGAAATTAAAAGTACACTACCAACTATCATCACTCAAAAATAAGAAATAGGAGTAGAGCTAACAAAACATATGTAGGAATTATATACTGAAAACAAAAACAAAAAATGACTGATAAAAAGGTATCAAAGGAGATCTAAATAAATGGAAAGAGGGGTGCCTGGGTGGCTCAGTCGTTACACGTCTGCCTTCGGCTCAGGTCATGATCCCAGGGTCCTGGGATCGAGTCCCACATCGGGCTCCCTGCTCAGCGGGAAGCCTGCTTCTCCCTCTCCCACTCCCCCTACTTGTGTTCCCTCTCTCGCTGTGTCTCTCTTTGTCAAATAAATAAATAAAATCTTTTTTTAAAAAAATGGAAACGTATTTTCTATTCATGGATTAGAAGAACATAGTAAAGCTGTCAATTGTCCCCAAATTGATATAAAGATTTAATGCAATTTCTATCAAAATCTTTACAAGATGTTTTGTAGATATAGGCAAGGTTAAACTAAACTCTATATGAAAAGACAAAGGAAGTAGGGTAGCTAAACCTATTTTGACAAAAAGAATAAAGCAGGAGGAATCACTCCAACAAATGTCAAGACTTATTATTTAGCTACAGTTTGGTAACAGTGGAGAGACAGACACATGGATCAATGAAACAGGACAAAGACTTGAAAAATAGCCTCACATAAGTAGGGCCAACTGCTTTTTAACAGAGGTGCCAGAGCAGTTCGATGGACGAGAAATAGTCTTTTCAACAAAGGCGAAAGGAGCAGTTGAACAACCATAGACAAAAATATGAACTTTGACCTAAGTTTCACACCTTATACAAAAATTAACTCAAATTTCATCATAAATTTAAATGTAAAACATGGGGCGCCTAGGTGGCTCAGTCAGTTAAGCATCTGACTCTTGGTTTCAGCTCATGTCATGATCTTAGGGTCCTGGGATCGAGCCCCACAATGGGCTCTGCGCTCACAGCTGGAAATTATCTCCCTCTCCCTAGGCTCCTCCCCCTGCCTGCGCACGCTCTCTCTCTCAAATAAATAAATACAATCTTTTTTAAAAATGTAAAACATAGGTTTTAGATAAAAATAAGGGAGAAAACCTTCAGGATTTCGGGCTTGGTGTAAATGTCTTCAGACAGGCCAGCCAAGCCTGATCCACAAAAAATAGAAAAAAAAAAAAAAAGAAAAAAGATCCATAAATTGGAACCTCATCAAAATTAAAAACTTTTGCTCTGCCAGAGATCCTTTTAATAAGTTGAAAAAAGAAGCTACACTTGGGAGAAAATTTTTACAAAAGACCTGACAAAGGACTCTAGCATAAAGAACTCTCAAAACTTGACTTAAAAAAACAAACTATCCATTGAGAAAATGAACAAAACATATGAAGAGCATTTTACTGAAAAGAATTTACAGCTGGTAAATAGCACATGACAAGACGCTGAACATCACTAGCCAGTGGGGAAATGCAAACTGAGACTGTGAAGAGACATCACTACACACTTATCATGACGGCTAACATTAGTGAGAAGCTGGTGAAGATGGGAAGAAACTGGAGCGGCACGTTTTGCCGGCAGGAAAATAAAATGGTAGAGCCACTCTTAAAATAGTCTGGCAGTATCTTTTAAAAATTTAAACATGCATTCATCATACAACCTAGCAACTGCACTCCTGGACATTTATCCCAGAGAAATGAAAACTTATGTCCGTACAAAAAACTGTACACAAATATCCATAATAACTTAGTTTGTAATAGCCCCAAACTGGAAACAACGAAAACGACCCTCAGTGGGTTGAACAAACCTCGGTACATCCATACCATGGAATACTACACAGCAACACAACGGGATGAACTAGGGGAGGGGGTGGGAGGTGGGGGTAATGGGGTGGGGATTAAGCATACACTTGTTGCGATGAGCACCAGGTGATGTATAGAACTGCTGAACCACTATATTGTACTGAACTGATACAACACTGTAGGTTAACTATAGTGGAATTAAAATAAAATGAAATAAAAACAAACAAACAAATAAATAAATAAAATGGGACGAGCTATTAATAGAGTGAACAACCTGGAAAAATTTCAAGGGCATTATGCTGAGTGGAAAAAGCCAATCTGAAAACACGTAGATAACATTCTGAAACAAAATTATCGAGGCAGAAAACAGACTAGTGGTGGCCAGGGGGTTAGGGAAGGTCAGGGGAGAGGGTGGGTGTGATGGCGAAGGGCCAGCCTGAGGGAGACCTCTGTGGTGATGAACTCGTCCGTGCCTTGGTTACACTGGTACCTACATGGGTCTATCTATACAGGTGACAAAGTGACACGGAACTACAGACACTCACCGGACCAAGGCAAAATGCTTGCTTTCCTTACCCTACAGTTATGCAGCCACCGCCCATAGAACAACTGGGAAAACTGGGTGGAGGGTACAATCTTCTGTACCCTTCTCTGTACTATCTTTGGGACTTCCCAGCAATCTATGATCATTTAAAAATAAAAAGCTAAACATAAAAATTTTTAATTATAAAAATGAATTCATCTGTCATATTTTTATCAATGTTGAGGTGAAATGCACTCATGCCCTCACTATTGGAACAAAGAGGAATTCAGTCAAGGGCTTACAAGTGAGGTACATACCACATGCCTTTCTTGGCTTGTTGTTTGTATTTCACAGCATGACTATGGCGGGGGGCAATGTGGAACAGCACCCCAGGGCCCCACGCATCCCCATCCTGGCCAACTTTCTCCTGTGAGACCCTCATTTGCCAGTGGCTAAGGCAGTTCTCATCCTCACCCCCCTCACTTCACAAGACCCTGCAGCCTCAGCAAGACCTGCAGCTGGGCCCTGCCACCAATTTTCACCCACGTGGGGACAGGATGGCAGACAACCCCCGACCAACGGCCCACAGGGATGCTGGAGCCCACTGGTGGGGGGTTTGAGTGGGGACTGGTCTCTAAATGAAAATATTTTGACGATGGAACATTTCTGTGTCATGATTTCCCTTGCTCCCCAAAACCATGGAAAACAGGAATCAAGCAAGCATTGCCGCTTCATCTGGGGACCAGAGCTGGGTGACAAGCTGCTCCCTGTCTCGGCTCTGCCATCCATGCAAAGCTCTCAAGGCACAGGCAGCTCCTTCATTAGAGGCCTCCAGGCTCAAGATGTCCATCAGCAGATGAATGGATAAAGAAGATGTCATACACACACACACACACACACACACACACACACACACACACACACACAACGGAATATTATGCAGCCATCAAAAGGAATAAAATCTTGCCATTTGCAACGACATGGATGGAACTGGAGGGTGTTATGCTGAGCAAAATAAGTCAATCAGAGAAAGACAAGTATCATATGACCTCACTGATATGAGGAATTCTTAATCTCAGGAAACAAACTGAGGGTTGCTGGAGTGGTGGGGGGTGGGAGGGATGGGGTGGCTGGGTGATGGACATTGGGGAGGGTATGTGCTACGGTGAGCGCTGTGAATTGTGTAAGACTGTTGAATCACAGACCTGTACCTCTGAAACACATAATACATTATATGTTAAAAAAAAAAAAAGAAAAAGAAGAAGATAGCAGGAGGGGAAGAATGAAGGGGAGTAAGTCGGAGGGGGAGAGGAACCATGAGAGACGATGGACTCTGAGAAACAAACTGAGGGTTCTAGAGGGGAGGGGGGTGGGGGGATGGGTTAGCCCGGTGGTGGGTATTAAGGAGGCCACATAGTGCAGGGAGCACTGGGTGTTATACGCAAACAATGAATCATGGAACACTACATCAAAAACTAATGATGTAATGTATGGTGATTAACATAACATAATAAAAAAATAAAATAGTCAAAAAAAAAAAAAAGAAGCCTCCAGGCTCAGGCTGGGTTTAATGCCTTCCCTTCTCATCCAGCAGCCTGAAGCCAGAGGTCCAAGGGCAGGCAATGGTCCTCCAGTGTCCAGGTCTGCAGGAAACCCCACAGCACTTTTAACAATGGCTCAGAATGAAAAGTGCCATGAAGAAACAGAGCCCAGGCCTGCCAAGGAAGAGGAGATTCCAGTCTGTTCGAATGGCAAGACCAAGAAGGAGGGAGAGTTGGCACATTCTGTGCCCACAGTAGGCAAGAGACAAATACCTACACTAGCACCTTCTGGAATCTGAAGCAGGTTCTGCTGGACTTCTTGGCTGGAGAGGGAAAGACCCATATAATTTTCCAATTCTGCCAGGCTTGGGTACAAAACTGACGGGAAGGGAACGGAAGGAAGAGGAAAGGTGTTACTCAGGGGCGTGAACTTGGCCACACCTGCCTGGCTCCCGTGGTCACTCATTTGTATTAAGAAATAGGGCCTGGGGATGTTGTTTCTCCCCGAGAATGCAAGGGAACACTCGCTGGTGATGTGGGTTCTCTCCTCAGAAGGGCTGAGGGGCCGGGGTCTCCCCAGAAGCAGCCTGGGACACAGGGGCTGCAGGAGCTGCAGGGGCTGTAGGAGGCAGGCATCTGACCCCAGGGCAGCTCCCAGGAAACTGCAGGGAAAGAGTGGGCCTGAGGTCAAGTTAGCTGCCACAGGACCTGAATCAAGACTGCCACCAACAACTCAAGGGGCTACCACAAACATCTTGGTCTCCTCACTCAGCCACAGAAGGTAGCCCCAAATCAGGGAGTTAATGCTCTCACTAAGCCACAGTTCCCTCAGGGCCCCCGTCAAAGAGCTCTGGTGGGGATAAAATGTTCAGGAAGCCCGCAGCACAGGGGCAGGAAAGAGGCTGTGCTGGAAGCGGCCACAAGAGGTCACTGTCAGTCAGGAGCACCCCACCCCGACTGGCCCACTCACCTGGAGACTGGGAGACTGGCAGGGCAGGCATTCCGGGTGCAGCTCTGGCCTGGGCCTGGGAGAGGTGAGGAGCACTGGTCAGCTGTGGCCAGGACCGCCAGGACCCCCAGAACCCTTGGAGCCTGGGGCTCCCTGGGGATCAGGGCATTAGTTAGGCTGGCGGGCCTAAGGTGGAGTATCCATGAACCTTGGAGGTGTGTAAATGTGTCCTCTGCACATGTCCATGTTTCTGGGGAAGGTTCTCCCCGTAGCCTGCAACCCGCCAAACGTCACGACCTGCTTACTACCTGAGGCAGCCAGAACATTGAGGCCCACCGCCCAGTGAAATTCTCAGTCGAGAAGTCCCAAATTCTCAAAACCCACTGGAACCACAGATGAATGGAAGGAAAAGGGGGCTTCTGCGGATGAGCAGGCCAAAGGCCATGCCCATGGGGTTTACTCTGGAAGCCTGTCTACAGTGGAGTCTACCTGAACTGGGATAGAAGTGCTAGGAGGCACAAGAGAGGCCTGTCTGCTGTTTGGGCTTTTCCATTCCTGCTGTAACTCCACTGCCTTAACCTCTGGACACCTGTCCACTAGCAGGTCCTGCAGTAGTGACCTGCATGCCCAGGGATCCAACACTCAGCACCTTCCAAGACAAGCCTCCCTTACTTACCCTGGGGCAATCACAAAGGCCCTTCGAGGTGGCCTAGGCTAACACATGCCTAGCGGCTTACCTGAATGGCTTGGTCCATCTTCAGGTCCTCCAGGGATGGGTATAGGGTGGACATAGCTGCTCCTTGGAACACCCTACAGGCACAGAGGGTGAGGAGGGGTGAGGGGTGAGAGGAAGCATGGATGTCTACCTCCCGTTCATGTGTGCCACTCAGGACTCTCAGGATGAGAAAGAAATCAGGAAGGTATTGTTAGGGGTGTGTACAGCATCATCCCCCAACTACACAGAATTCCGTCCAGTGTTAAGTAGGTGGGGTTTTAATTACAACAGAAAGGCAGCAGGGCATTTAGAATCTCTCCCCAACCCCTCACACCCCTGTTCACCTCTGGGTATTTGAGCTCCTACTGTATACCACCCATTTCCAGCCTTGATCTTAGCCTAGGCTTCCACTCTTCTCCTTGTAAAGTTCTGATCTTATTAAATGTGTCTTAGGTTTAACAGTAGAAAAGATCAACGAAACTAGGAGCTGGTTCTTTGAAAGAATTAACAAGATTGATAAACCCCTGGCCAGACTGATCAAAAAGAAAAGAGAAATGACCCAAATCAACAAAATCATGAATGAAAGAGGAGAGATCACAACCAACACCAAAGAAATACAAACAATTATAAGAACATATTATGAGCAACTCTATGCCAGCAAATTAGATAACCTGGAAGAAATGGGTGCATTCCTAGAGATGTATCAACTACCAAAATTGAACCAGGAAGAAATAGAAAACCTGAACAGACCTATAACCACTAAGGAAATTGAAGCAGTCATCAAAAATCTCCCAAGAAACAAAAGCCCAGGGCCAGATGGCTTCCCAGGGGAATTCTATCAGACATTTAAAGAAGAATTAATACCTATTCTCCTGAAACTGTTCCAAAAAATAGAAATGGAAGGAAAACTTCCGAACTCATTTTATGAGGCCAGCATTACCTTGATCCCAAAACCAGACAAAGACCCCATCAAAAAGGAGAATTACAGACCAATATCCTTGATGAACATGGATGCAAAAATTCTCACCAAAATACTAGCCAATAGGATCCAACAGCACATTAAAAGGATTATTCACCACGACCAAGTGGGATTTATCCCTGGGCTGCAAGGTTGGTTCAACATCCGCAAATTAATCAACGTGATACAATACATTAACAAAAGAAAGAACAAGAATCATATGATCCTCTCAATAGATGCAGAAAAAGCATTTGACAAAGTGCAGCATCCTTTCTTGATCAAAACCCTTCAGAGTATAGGGATAGAGGGTACATACCTCAATATCATAAAAGCCATCTATGAAAAACCTACAGCCAATATCATTCTCAATGGGGAAAAGCTGAGAGCTTTTCCCCTAAGGTCAGGAATGCGGCAGGGATGTCCACTCTCACCACTGCTATTCAACATAGTATTAGAAGTCCCAGCCACAGCAATCAGACAACAAAAAGAAATCAAAGGCATCCAAATTGGCAAAGAGGAAGTCAAACTCTCACTCTTTGCAGATGATATGATACTGTATGTGGAAAACCCAAAAGACTCCACCCCAAAACTGCTAGAACTCATACAGGAATCCAGTCAAGTAGCAGGCTATAAAATCAATGCACAGAAATCAGTGGCATTCCTATACACCAACAACAAGACAGAAGAGAGACAAATCAAGGAGTCGATCCCATTCACAATTGCACCCAAAACCATAAGATACCTAGGAATAAATTTAACCAAAGAGGCAAAGGATCTGTACTCAGAAAACTATAAAATACTCATGAAAGAAATTGAAGAAGACACAAAGACATGGAAAAACGTTCCATGCTCATGGATTGGGAGAACCAACATTGTGAAGATGTCAATGCTACCTAGAGCAATCTACACATTCAGTGCAATCCCCATCAAAATACCATCCACCTTTTTCAAAGAAATGGAACAAATAATCCTAAAATTTGTATGGAACCAGAAGAGACCCCAAATAGCCAGAGGAATATTGAAAAAGAAAAGCAAAGCTGGCGGCATCACAATTCTGGACTTCCAGCTCTATTACAAAGCTGTCATCATCAAGACAGTATGGTACTGGCACAAAAACAGACACATAGATCAATGGAACAGAATCGAGAGCCCAGAAATGGACCCTCAACTCTATGGTCAACTCATCTTTGACAAAGCAGGAAAGAATGTCCAATGGAAAAAAGACAGTCTCTTCAACAAATGGTGTTGGGAAAATTGGACAGCCACCTGCAGAAGAATGAAACTGGACCATTTCCTTACACCACACACAAAAACAGACTCCAAATGGTTGAAAGACCTAAACGTGAGACAGGAGTCCATCCAAATCCTAAAGGAGAGCACAGGTAGCGACCTCTTCGACCTCAGACGCAGCAACTTCTTCCTAGAAACATTGCCAAAGGCACGGGAAGCCAGGGCAAAAATGAACTATTGGGATTTCATCAAGATAAAAAGCTTTTGCACACCCAAAGAAACAGTCCACAAAACCAAAAGACAACTGACAGAATGGGAGAAAATATTTGCAAATGACATATCAGATAAAGGGCTAGTATCCAAAATCTATAAAGAACTTATCAAACTCAACACCCAAAGAACAAATAATCCAATCAAGAAATGGGCAGAAGACGTGAACAGACATTTTTCCAAAGAAGACATCCAAATGGCCAAAGGGCACATAAAAAAGTGCTCAACATCGCTCGGCATCAGGAAAATCCAAATCCAAACCTCAATGAGATACCATCTCACACCAGTCAGAATGGCTAAAATTAACAAGTCAGGGAATGACAGATGTTGGCGGGGATGTGGAGAAAGGGGAACCCTCCCACACTGTTGGTGGGAATGCAAGCTGGTGCAACCACTCTGGAAAACAGTATGGAGGTTCCTCAAACAGTTGAAATTAGAGCTACCATTCGATCCAGCAATTGCACTACTGGGTATTTACCACAAAGATACAAATGGAGGGACCCGAAGGGGTACGTGCACCCCAATGTTTATAGCAGCAATGTCCACAATCTCTGGAAAGAGCCGAGATGTCCATCGACAGATGAATGGATAAAGAAGATGTGGTATATATACACAATGGAATATTATGCAGCCATCAAAAGGAATGAGATCTTGCCATTTGCAAGGACTTGGATGGAACTGGAGGGTGTTATGCTGAGTGAAATAAGTCAATCAGAGAAAGACATGTGTCATATTATCTCACTGATATGAGGAATTCTTAATCTCAGGAACAAACTGAGTGTTACTGGAGTGGTTGGGGGTGGGAGGGATGGGGTGGCTGGGTGATAAACAGTGGGGAGGGTATGTGCTATGGTGAGCGCTGTGAATTGTGCAAGACAATTGAATCACAGATCTGTACTTCTGAAACAAATAATGCAACATATTTTCAGAAAAAAGAAAAAGTAGAAGATAGCAGAAGAGGAAGAATGAAGGGGAGTAAGTCAGAGGGGGAGACGAACCATGAGAGATGATGGACTCTGAAAAACAAACTGAGGGTTCTAGAGGGGAGGAGGGTAGGGGGATGGGTTAGCCTGGTGATGGGTATTAAAGAGGGCACATTCTGCATGGAGCACTGGGTGTTATGAATAAACAATGAATCATGGAACACTACATCAAAAACAAATGATGTAACATATGGTGATTAACATAACAATAAAAAAATAAAAAAAATGTGTCTTAGGTTTTGCATTTAGGCCACTAGTTTGAATGTATGAAGTACTCTGCAAGGTCAAATTAAACCTGTTTGCATCTGGCCTGCGAGCCACCAGTTCCAATCTCTGGAGGAATCAGAGGTCTGTGTGGCCCACTTTAGGGAATGTGGGCTAGATACTGAGAGCAGTGGGGAACCACCAGGGGGCTCTAAGCAGGGGTAAGACATCCCAGGCTCATGCAGAAGGGCCTACTGCCTGCCATCTGGAGAACACAAGAGGAGGCAAGAACCATTGGAGGATTTTGTGGCACCTGCGGAGGGGCCGGAAGATGATGGCGGTCTGCACACAGCTTGGGGGTTACGGGTGGGATGTAAGAGAGAAGGGATTTGATGGCAAGTTAGAAGGAATGGTGTGTATGTGGTGGGGGAGGTGTGTGAAGGCAGCAGGTGCAGAGGAAGGAGAAGGAGCAATGATGGATGAGGATGACCTAGGCACCTGTGGGTCACTCAGGGGAGATGCCCAGAGGATCTGGACCTGGGCAGGGCTGAAGTCCCATCACCCCTGGCGCAGCCCACTCAGTTCCCTGTGACCACTCCAGGCACCCCTTTATTGTGTACCCCTGCTCTGATAGCCTCCCACCTTCCTAGGATGGAAACGAGCACCAGAGGTCCCGAATGTATTTCATTCACCTCTCAGTCTTGTTTCTTATTTTTTCAAATTTGAATTAGTGTCAACATTTTAAAGTCTGGGAATAAAAAAAATTCTTCTCTTCTAATTTGTATTTAAAAAAGTCAAAATATTTGGCAATGCAAGACCAGGAGTCATGCACAGCAACACCCAGTTTAGGCTGAGTTGCAGCCAGCCTCTTATATGAGGCCGCCTGTGCTTTCTTGGTTCCCAAAGTACCTGGCCAGCGATTTACATCCCCTGCTTGGCCCTGGAGGCAGGCAGCTCCAGATCCTTGCCCTAGTCTGGTCTTTGCGGCAGAAATGATCATCCAAAGAGGACAGAGATTGTCCCATGGAGGAGAGGAAGACTGGTTCTGACCTCCTTTAGACCAGCTGGGGTAATAAACCCCTTTGCCTATGGCCTCCCCCACTGTGCACACACTCTGGGAGATTTTTCTCTTGGGACAGTCCTCAGCAGGTACCATTCACCAAGAACAAGCCCTGTTACCAGGATCATGCATGAAGAGCTTATGTGAAAATGAGAGGCCACCCCTGCCCTGCTTTTTCTAACACTGAAGCAGCACAGCAGTTATATTTTTAGTGGCTGCCCCCTGGGAGAGCAGAACCAGAGATCCACTTCCTAGAAATCACTCCCAGGCCAGGACCACACACTTCCTCTGTATCTGGGACCTTCACCACCTCCACCTTCGGTGAGTCCCAACTCAGTTTCAGGCTCTGGGCGGAATGAGGAAACAGGTATTCCCCTGCCTTTTAACATG